TCAGCATTCCACACCATCAGAATTTAATTTTTAAAAGACTCGGGATTCTCACAATTTAATAGAAAGGTTCTCTCCGAAATCTTGGAGGACCAGGAAAAAAAAGTTAGTTCTCTATGATTTCGCATTGAAGTTTCTTTCTAAATTATTCAATCATTTTATAATTATCTGTGAACAGGCTGAATAACACTTCGTGCTTCAAATAGTTCCCAGCAATTACCTCGTGCTATCATTTTTTGATTGAAAAACAATGCCAATCCATTATTTATTTACTGTTTTGTACTTTTTTGAATTGGATATTTGCGTGAGGGGAGGGTGAGGCGATGTTTTGAGCCTTGTGAACGCCGACAAGCGGCAAATGAAGCTTATTTATCAATCAATCAATCAATCAATCAGAAACCTTCTTCTTGTCCCAATTCATCGCAAGGACGAGCGTGGGTGTGCCCAAAAGGAAAAATAACGAACCTTGTCCTTGACGTTCTCCATGATGCCAGCGACGGTCGACGTCGGATGGATCAAAATGACACCCAAAGTGCGAGCAGGATATGCCATGGCGAACCTAGTGGCGACGTTGGCCCCCGCTCCTTCTCCAATCAGGACAGCATATTTCAAGTGAAGGAAGTCCAAGACAGTCACCAGATCCTCAGCTAGGACTTGCAATGTTGGAAAGACAAACCTGTGTGCGACATTCAAGAAATTTGATTGTGTGCTTCAGATTAAAAAAAAAAAAAAGTGGACTGAACGTGGAGTTGGAAAGCAAAATTTCATCCGTCAACGACGAAACCTTTCGAAATTATCATTCAGTTCAACCGCGAGCCCCAAAAGTATTCTCGATTAAACTCCCTGGAAGAACCAATTAATCGGAATAAATCTGAAGTACTGTATGCTTCTCCGCTACAAAATGTACTGTACCTATAACACGAGAATCTTTAGATTCATTTTGACGAGAGTGTACGTTTCTACGGCTTCGATTCTTTTAGAAAAACTATTTCAAATAAGGTCGAATGGGGAATTCGAATTATATAAGGTTCTAAAAAATATTTTTTCGGGTGTAATGTTTACTTGCATCACATTGGATTTACTGGAATACTGTACCATCAGCAAATTGATGCGCGTCATGATTTTCAAGTTAGATTTTTCAATATTGACTATTATTACTGAACTAAACAAAATTTGCAGACTTGTAGACCCATTTAATTCATTACAGGATTTAATATCCCTGGTTGGGAATGCGTCAAGAAAGGCAGCATTAATCGTTGATCAGACTTTTCTTATTCAAGTTAATTACGGAAGAACATCGGCAATCGGTCGCCTCGTGAGAGATTAATTCAATAACTTGGAGCAGCATTTTCCCGATGAACCCGGGCAATGACCTCTTGTCTTCATTATTGGAATTGGAATACAGATATCGTTCATGTCAACAGTAACTGACAGGTAGTCTTCACGAGCAGCAAATCCTACTTTTGATCCTTCACAGGTCCGATGGATTTTCCCGACAAATGTCAGGTTCACATGAAGTTAATTCCGGCTTTTCAAGATCTTTTACATAATGTCGTTATTCTATCTGGTCAAGTGATGTTCTTATCCAACTTTCCATCGACAAACAACCGGATATGGGAGCGAATCATCATCAGCATCGATTCGATTCATATGAGATTTAAAAAAAAAAGCGTCCGACCTGGAGATTAGGATGACTAATGAAAACTCATTCGTCAACTGATATCCGATTAAGGTTCCATCGATCACGTATTTTTTGCAGAAATATCGAAATAAAGTAGCATCCAGAAATTTTAGAACCTATAGAAATTAATTTGAAGCTTCGAAACGATATTCGATTCGAGTATGACGACAGTTGAAAAAGAAAAGAAAAAGGAACTCCTTGTCAAAATTCAAGAAATAGCATAACTGGCTTATCGTGGGAAAATCTTTGTAGGTTCTGTCGGGATTCCCATCGAAAACATTCGGGGTTTGGTTTCTTACGCTCCCAATCCCAAAGAACTTCATTCTTATTTGTCGTCAAAATGACAATTCATGATCAAGGTAAAAGAGCTCCGCAATTTTTTTTTTTACATCAGAAGAAAATCGAAAAAACGGGTTCTCTCAAAATCATTCAATGGTGCGTTACAATTTAGAGAGAAAAAGAGCACCTGTTCAGATATATTCATTCATTTTTTTGTAAAATGTAAAAGTAACTGAGATTACAAAGTAGTTTTTTCATCACTTTTCCGAAGCTGTCGATGCTACTCATTTGAGTAAATGACACCAAGTACCGTAGCGTTAAAATGGAGTGAAAAGCTATTAATTTAGAAAGATCGATAAATTGAAAAAATTCAGATTATGTGACCCAATTAGTTCAGGCACGATTTCAGCGCATACAGCCATGCACAATTCAGATTATTTTTCATCTATTTATTTTCCATTCGATATCTTCAAGTTCAAAAATTTTTATTCGTCTGCAGTATACTTCTACCAATATAGACATCAGCGATAAATATTTGTAGGGATTTGACAGACATTATTTCACCTAGCATACTCAGCTTAAACTATAACCTGGTTTACTGAAAGTGGCATAATTTAACTTAATCTAATGAAATCGGCCTAATCTAACCAATGAACAATCCACAATCCATCCACACCAACGTACTCAACAAAAGCTGAACCTATTCATAACAAATCAAAATTAAACCTACTCAAAATTGCGTAACCAACTCAACATGATAAACCTAGTTTACAGTTTGTAATTTGACCTCTTGAACTTGAATGACTTTTGAATGAAGTGAAGTACAGTAAATTATTCATGTCTCGAGGGAACATCCTTGACAATGCAAAGGAATACTCACTTGAAGGGACGTGGGTGGCTGGAAGGGATAATGGTTCTCAGAAAACGGCCCGCGCAAATCATGAACCTCCTTCCCTACTTATTCTCATTAATTGTTGTATATTTTGCAAAGCATTTTGCTGAAAAACGCCGTCGGGGCTTGTAGAACGATAGGTATATATTAACGAAGCTACGAAAGAGTTTGTCAAATGAAAACGCTTGAAAGCAATGCATCAAGAAAATTGTTTGCCATTTTGAAAATGCGCCAGCGAAAGGAACATGAAAACTACCCAGGGATCACAGCAGGCTCACGGATATATAGACCTGGCATTACCACGCATATAATTCCCTCGCAAAATGTTCCTTACTTGATAAGTACACGGGAAATGAAATGAAAGGCATTCACCAGAATGAATCTATATCACCATCCTCCGTGAAATAATAATTTTCGTCATTCAAGCAAAGATTCGAAGGTGACCTACTCAAAATATCGCAATGATGAAATGACGATTCATAAAATATAATTCGACTCCGGGATGCATTTTTATATTTTATCTTACCGCTTTACAGAAATACATCATGTACTGTATGTACGTATAAGTACCATGGCTCAACACGAAATCTCTGGCCTATTCCAAATCATTAAAGCAATATGTAATCATTAGACCATGCGAGAGAGAGAAAGAGAAAAAAATCTCTAAAACGATTTCTTCGTCCCTTGAATTTTAGAGTCCATCTGTACGTATAACCTTACTCAGCAAGAATCTCGAATTGATCAGTCTTGTAAAAATGCGAGGCATCAAAAAATTGCAGGAAATATTTTCATATTTTCAGGAAAGTGTCTCTTCAGTATCATCTGAACTCGTGAATCGACGTTTTAGAAGCATTTGCATTTCGTTTCCAATTCATGAGAAGCATCTTTCTTGGAAACACTTTTTGAAGGATTAATTTAGGAAGAGGATTATACGGTATATTCACGAAAGACGTTCCGCGTCGCAGTTTTAATATTATTTCCCTGCATTCTTAAACAAAACACCCACCACAATAGAGTCGATTTCCAGAATGTAAAATAATTACTGTTATTTAAAAAAAATACGGAAAATGACCCACAGTATGAGTGTGAACTTATATTTTTGAACAAGATAGACGAGATGCAAGAACCCGTCGCTCCGTTTTTTGGGGGGAAAAGAAAAGGGTAAATTTCTCCATCTCTGAAGATACAATATTTACATTTGAAACGAATTGCATTCTAGCATCGGTTTGAATCCAGAGATGTTTATATACATAAACGAAGCTATACGAAAGAGCTTGATACTAAATACTACACCTTCCGGAAACCTTTGCCATTTCTCATGTCATTTCCTTCAAAAGCTGAAATTGCGGAAGAACCGTTCATCCTGCAATTCCCGTCTCGACGGAAGCCCCGATTCGCCTACGCCCACGGACAACACCCAATTCCGTCGGTGGATTCGTCTGTGAATTCTCGAACCCATCCTCATGAATTCATGGGTTAGTTTCGAATCTGCACCGCACCTCTGTATCCTTCAGAAGTAACCATCGGATCGCGAAGACATGCTTTCTCTTAGCTAACACGCACTGATGCAGCTATTTATAGATTTGCTCAGCGACTGGGATTTCTTCTTTGGTGGAAAAATTTTGATTTGTGTGGCTTCAAGAAATTTGAAACTGTTCCCACACATTCGACTCAATTTTGTCTCTGTTCCCGAATGGCGCAATCCGGGGAAACGGAGCTCAACCGTTCGGCAAATGTATTCAAAAAAATATGATGCATAATTTTATAAATCGGACAGTAAGACTTTTTATTATTCACGGGCTGGAATTGAACCATGTCCAAATGTCAAGACGATCAATTGACAGAAAGCAACCCATATAATTATTCTGCATTTGCTTCCTTTTTCCTTCAAAAATCTTCGAGATGAGCTTATAAAAACATTGTTTAAATACAAAATAACAAATAAGACTTCAAGGGACACAAGAGAGGCAAAAGTACTTAAAGATTCCGTTGAAAAAATTCACTAGGGGAATTTCAAAAGCGTGTCGCGTTTCTATTCTTCGGAATGTCATCAATAAATAAATTTGATATCCTTGATTACTTTACGCATTTTTTTATAACCGCGATTTTTTCTAAGATAATCGATCATGCCAAGGAAGTCACATCGCGATTCGCCATTCCAACTTCAAAAGAACCAATTCAGCTGGTATTGAAGTTTCATGGGTCTAAGTGATGAAAAACTAATCCTCAGGCATAATTTTCGAGAAATAAAATGAACATGATTTTAAACAAAAATACAAACAAGATAGTCATCACATTTTTTGATGCACTTCCTTGAAACATCATCCAATATTACATTTGTTAGCTCTTTTGAAAAAAGCTTTCAATTTCATGGAATTAACCGCATCGGTTTCCCTCGTGATACACTGGAACGATTTTAATGTTTCGAAATCGTGGAGTATAATTATTTTTCAAGCTTAAAATTGAGCACATTCTCATTTTTAGAGAAGAATAAAGGAAAAATTGATGCGAAATATGACAAGACCTACGGTTGAAAATTATTACGTTCTTCTTTCGATTACGAAATGATTATATACGTGAAGAAAACGAAAGGATTCCTCGGAATTCTGGTAATTAACTTTTCATTCAGTAGCTCGATGCCACCACGAACCACATGCGACATAACTGGGCTGCAGCAGGATTCTCTCGTGCTTTCCCAAATAATATTTTTTCGTCCGCCTAATAACGATACTTCACATTCAATTGTTCGTTTTACTACTGTTTGTATTTTTTCGTGCTCAGTCTTTATATTGATTAAATCAGAAGCATAGGAATTACAGTATTTCCAACGAAAAAACAAAAAAAACATAAACCACAAGATTCATGTCTCGAACATTTTGCCAGACTATTCTCGAGGGCTGCGGAAATGAATCAAGAAAACCTCGACCATGGATCACAGAGCGAAAAGCGAAAAGGGCATGAAGTTTTCATATGAATGAAAATCAGCCATGGGGTCCAACTCGGTGGAAGTCGTATCCCTCAAGGTGATCCATCAAGTTTCTCCTCTTCGCATGAGACTTTACTCCAGCCTGATGGGAATACGACGCATTTTTCGGGGACCCGCGTTCCTAGAATTCGCTTCTACATCTCACACATCGAACCCCTACCCCCAGAATGAACCTTCTTGGCTGTATGGATCATGAATCTCCCGGGGGGAAATAAAGTCGTTTTCCGCTCCGAGGAACTCGAGAAATTTTAAATTGCTCGTCTCGCAATTGGATCATATATATAGGAACAATGAACCGAAGTCAAATCCCGTCTTTCGGGGCAAGAAGTAAAAAAAAAAAAAAAAAGATCTTACCCATCGGGTAAATCCGGCGAGTTGTCCTCTTGACCCGGAACGTCGATATGAATGAAGATCGACCTTGCCTTGATCTCGTTCATGGCTGGATGTTCGACGAAATCGTGGAACGAAGTATCTTTTAAGAGATAACGTCAGAAAATACGTTGAAGCCCATCAAAGAAAGCAAAGAATTCGGAATATACAGCATAGTTGGGATCAGATCATAGATTTACAATAAATGGAAAATTGCCCCGATTGTAAAAGCGCACCCGCGGCAAGAGTTCTTAAAAAATAAATGTACTGTGTCTCATTCAAGCCAAAATGTCGCCAGTTTATGTGGATACATTTTAATCTACGGTTAGAAAATTCTGTACGCTTTCATAAGGTTTCGCAGTCTGCCTGGACTACTTATTTAGAGTCAAGAAGTTATTTTTCATTTGTTTTATTCAAGAATTATTCAATATCTTACACGTTCTTCATCGACAGGAAATGTGAAACGAAGCAAACCGTATCTCCTATGTTACTTACATACATTCAAGTCAGGATGCAAAACAGCATTCTTTTCTGCGTCGAGAAAAACTGAGAGCGTTTTTAGATGAGCATCGGTGACCCGATTAATAAACGCACCAATGATGCGTAAATATTACCCGAAAATTGAACATGATTACAATTTTTCGAAAAATTGTACGGCTGTATAAATTATTCTCGATGTCATTTGTATTTCACCTGAAGGTCGACTGAAATCAAGAAAAACTGCTTACGGTTGCATCCGATGTCGTGGATAGTGAGGAACACGGCCCGTTTTTCGGCATTTTGAATCTCTCCCTGAAAAATAAAATGACAAAACATTTCATTCGGTCATTAGTGATCAAGAAGTAAAGATTTTTAAAAATTCCCAGGATTTTTTCAACATGCTAAATTTTCTATAAATTTCACGCGCGAACTGTTATTACAGACAAATGCTGTAAACAATTTGTTCGTGTTAACTTCCTCTGAGTTACCCTATTAAGAAAAAATCACTCACACTCATCAGCCTCGGGGTAACTCCAAAGTGAGTATGAGAAATGAGAAAATAATGGACTGAGGAGAATTTTGCGAAATGTGGCAATTACAACTGGCATATTTCTCTTCCATTGTACATCCCGGCTACCGAAATCGGGTATTTCGATTTGAAACTTTTTTCGGAATTTATCAATAACCTCAGCTTTCTTTTACTTGGTACAATGGTACAATTCGAGGCACTTTCAGTAATGTTTAGTGTATTTGCAGAAAAGCCATTCAACTGCAAAAGAACCTATAGCAGATGTTTGAAAAATACTGGATAGGAATTCATCACTGAAAGATTCTACATTTTTCCGAAACGCCGAGTTGGCTTTCAAGTTGGAACTAATGCGAAAATCACGCTAATCGAACGAAGGTATGACACGATACTTCTGGCTACGCGTAATTTTTGCAACAACAACAAAAATCGTATTTCAGCCAGATCGCTGAATCGAACAAGACATTTCGAATTCATCTTCAAAGATCAGAAAACCGCAAAATTGCTATTCGTATGACGAATACGCGGTTCATCGATCGATTGAGATGAAGACGACATCATGTCCCACAGAGCCTTGAGCACAATATTCCAATCCAAAAAAAAAAAAAAAAAAAAAACGAAGAAAAGAGGTAAACACTGNAAAAAAAAAAAAAAAAAAAAAAAAAAAAAAAAAAAAAAAAACGAAGAAAAGTTGAGCAAATCGGAAACTAAAAAGTAGAAGCCGTCAGAGGAATCCGTTCACGTACATTCATCACCGGAACGGCAAACGGGGACGCGGTCTCAGACACAATAAATCCCTTCCGGGTTCCTCTTTGGGCTCAGAACTTCCACGGAAGATTTAACGCACCATCCAAGCATCACGAGAAGGGAAAGCCTGGGGTTTTTCTTTCTCCTTCTTCTTCGATTTATAGATGAAAATGGTCCATCACTTCGGTTTCTTGTCGTGAGATGGCCCCCAAAAGTGTGACGGTTACACACGAAAAGCAAAAAAAAAAGGGGGGGGGGAATAAGTGAAGGCACGCATCGAATTAATTTCCCTTTCCTCCGTCTCCACGTCTACGTTCACAGAATATGCATTTCTACGCACGTAGGGAACTCACGGGGGTACTTCTGGCAACCCACTTCCCAACCTTATTGTTTCCCATTCGGAAGAAACTTGGACCGGAAGTCAGCAAATAACCACGGGGACCAGAAATTTACGGGTTCTCCGCCATGACGGCAGCGAATTCACGGCGAGGTTCGGTGGCAGACGATTGAAAAAGGAAGAGGATGTGCTACATTTCAATTGACAATGTAACAATTCTCGTTCCAGTTTGAATGCGTGACTTCAACGCAGAGCCCATGCTTTCAAGGAAGTACGTTATTCTAATGGGATGGCCGGGTTTCGAATTTTTATTGCAGCTTTTGTCAATATATTTTTGAGATCAAACCCCTTAAGGAAATTCGAAAAATGTGTAATACAGTACAGTACTGTCATTCGACTGCTTTACCGTATAGACCCAAATGAAAATTTTCACGTATAATAAATTTATTTCCGGATAACTTTATTACAGTAGATAAATCCCTGAAAAATCAAGGTGTGTAAAATTCACGCAGTCGTGCAAAGACGACAAAAGCATTTTGGCTTTCAAAGGATCCAAATTATTCTCAAACGTGACATTCCTCCTTGCAATAATCGCGTCATGAATAGTGATGTACCTTATTTCCCACACCATGAACTCGTATAGCTTTGAAACATTATTACTGCCTTTACTCGAGGACCACACACACTTTTTCCTCCAATTCAAAAAGAAAAAAAGGGATGCGCGTCATAGGCATTCATACATTTTTTTCAAAATTTTTAGAAGGTTAGGCATGCATTATATTCGATCCTAATGGGAAATTTCGGACCAAGTTCAACAGAACAACTCAATTTTAAATTTTTTAATTTGAAAGCAAATTTAAATTAGTCAAATTCATGTTCAAATCATGTCTAAATTAAAAGTTGGGTGTTCTTCTGTTAGCAATGCTGATTGCAGTCTTAGTGCCACTAAAAATGGAGTGCGCAACTTACTCAAGGGCATGCGGTACTTGAGTAAATACGGTATTATTATTTTAATCACTCTGTAGTAAAGGCGCGAACTTCAAAAACAGCGATTTTTTGTGGCTTTAATAATATATATGCTTACCCAGGAACGTATCGATTCGTTTTAATAAAGCTTTAGAAAATGTAAGAAGAAATCCGCATACGGTTATTTTTATCTGACGAAAGCCACCCTGAAACGGATTAATATCGTTATAGTGAATGAGCAACGTCCGCATTCATAGACCACTAGTGTAAAATCAACATTCAAGCGCTTAAAAAAAATGCAGTACTGTACTTGCACAGTATATACACAGAAATATGTTCCGAAATCATGGAAAGGTATTTTACGAAGGCAAGTAAAGCTTTGGAGCGGACAAACTTGTTATGTGACTATACAACAAAAATATAAAGCGTATCACAAAACTTGACGATTCGAACCAAATCATTAAAAACGAGGCAACGAAACGTGATTCGACGTACGCGATCTTCCGTACTGTAAAGACCTAGCAACTTATGATACTCTCAAGAACCGAAATAATAACATTATAAAAAGCACTCAGCACAGCAAACAAAAAAAGAAGGGGGATTTTTCCGTTCTCCGAAAGTAAGCACAGACAACTTTGCTTTCGAATGCTCAGGACCAACAATTTTCCCATGACGCTTCTCGAATAAACGGAAGAGCTTTCTTTAAACTCGGGAAAATCGATCTCTTCCAATAACTGCATCGGAAATGCACTTTCCTGAGACTCAATTTACACGCAGGCTTGTCAACAGAAAAGGATTTCTTTTGCATCCCACTTTGTCCTTTCCTCAATGATGTCTATTTACACGCAAGACGGGTACGAAGATTTCATGGTTTTCTTTCCTGCATTTAATAAATAAAGCGCTGACATATTTTGAAGATTTTCTCGGCCTTTTCACGGGGAGGAAATCTGTAATATTCATGTTTAACGTCGGGTTTCCTCCGTCATAGCGTGTCGACATGAAGAGTTTGTTTTCTGGATATTTTCACTGAAAAAACCAAACTATCAAAGAATGGATGGCAACGAAAATTTCACGAGAACATGCAGAAAGACAAAGTTAGGAGAATAATGTACAAAAGGAAACCAGGCTCTCCCTCTAGACAAGAGACGCAAAATTCTCACGAAAATATAACTCGATTTTAAAATTTAGCATAGATTTTTCGAAGAAGCGCCAGTTTCGAAAATGTCAATAGCGCTATAGTAAAGTTTCTCGTTAAAAAAATTCTTAACCCGAAGGTTATCCGAGCCACTTACAGTATGCGGGTTGGTTCCACGGCGAAAATCTTCGTACAGTACATTGAAAAGAAAAATCCGATAAAACAAGGAGAGCTGATTATATTTAAAAAAATTGCCAGGTTCAGTTTTTAAGAGCCAGCAGGACGACGCGTTTAAAAAAAAAGGGATTTCAACTGCAAAATTTGGCACGCAATTGCACGATTATCTGTCTCAAAATCAAACGTTCTTCGTGCATTAAAAAGGGCAAATTTAATGTCGGAAATACTGCATTACCAAAAAAAAAAAAAGGAAAATCTGATCAATAACCTCCAAGAAAAGGAGAAGCCTAAAAAATATTCAAGAACCCCACCACATCAAATAATAGAACTTAACGACATGTTTACTCGTTTACAGAGGAATGGAAAGACTCGGATCAATCCTGTCTTTCATGCACGCTAATTTCCCAAACAAATCTTTATTTTATGCTCAAATCATACAGGCTGATAGAACGAGAGATATTTAAAAAGCTGATTCGGTACGGCAACATAAAAAGTAAATTATTTTGCGGCCGACGTTTCCCTTAGAAACCTTCCCAACCCCTCGTGGAATAAAATAATAATCAACACCGGAAGAAAATTCAAGTCAAGTCGTTGAGAAGTCTCTTCAATTGCGACCCTGCTGCGAACAAGTTCTTGCACAGCAATTGACATTTTCAGATAAATATTCAAATCCAGCACCACAAACTCTATATTTCGTAGAATTTAGACTGCCTGCAAAGTCATAAAGTTGCAAATGTGTCCGATATACTGTACATCTCACCGATGGAAGCACGAAACGCACTTTAAAATATTACTTCTCTCCATTTCAACCCGGCTGATGGAAACTTTGAACCAGAGGCCACGAAATGATCGATGATCACTCTGAAAATTGCTTCTATCCATACTAAACAGGCTTAAAAAAAAAAAAAAACTAATGAACCGACCCTCGTACGCTATGTAAATAAAAATACTGTATTACTTGGACTGCGAGGAACGATTTTGCTTGATGAGGAATTTACGTGCAACACGGAAACAGTTTTTCCTCCGAAATTCTTAAAAATAAAAACGATTCCCACTCATCTTTCTTTCGACACCGAATCATCTCAATGTACAAGCTCTCCATCTGCGTGCGGGCAATGGAATCGAATGTTTTTCACCGAGTTCATCATCTCCCAGTCAAATGAAGACACGACTATACGAAGACGATTATCAAAATCAAAGTCGTCATCGACTTATTATCCGATTGTGTAAAGAAATGGGGAAGAATCCTGCAAAATGCTGCGAACAGGTAACCCAGTATGTGGAGCTCTTTTTCTCTCTTGCTGAAGTCCAGAATCATCCCAGTTCCTCCTTCCAGTAATGGGGAGATTCCTGCCACGTGTGAGAAAGGCATTTCGCCTGGAGGCTCGTCATTCAACCCCCCCACCATCAGCTTCTTCTTCGATTTTTTATTGATTTATTTATTTTATTTATGTTCCACATCAACGAGTAGGTAAAAATCATAAAATATGTGCTTGTTTAATCGCGGGGCAATCCTGAGGAGATGATCACAGCAGGGGATCAAGGAAGTCTTCCGTGAAAGCAATTACTCCAGTCGCGACGTCTTCGCTGATCCGTGCAACTCGCAGAGGATCATCGAGATCAAGAAGTAATATTTAGACATCATATACTACCTTCACAGGTATTATTGCACATTCAAAAGAAGATGTGTCGTTGATTACTTTTTCGACTAAGTGGATACACGCAAATAACGGCTTTAGTCCATCAGAATTCATCAATTTCAAGGCACATGCGAATGGGTTCCTCAAGCCAAGACCAATGCGATCATCGCACTCGGAAGATGCGAAGAAGTCCATACAACTTTCAAAATATGTTCAAAACACACAAAAATAATAGTTACAAGGTAAAACTTTTCTTACTTTTGGATGCTCAAAATGTGTTTAATTTTTGCTTAAAACATACAGAAATAATAGTTACAAGGTAAAACTTTTGGATGCATGAAAAAAGGGCAGTGGATCGGTAATGCTAACAATATTAGGATTCGAAATTTTTTGAGCAGCGGAAAAGTTTCATGTTGAGTTTGAGTGACAGTGGTTTCATGTGAAATAATGCATTTCTTAGAACAGCAAATGCTGGAATTGCTCGGCCCAAAGAAAATGTAAATGAAATCATTCAGGTTTTCAACACTTATTGCAAAAATGGCTCTCTTGGATATTCATGCATGAACGGAAGATGATTTTTTAAACATTACACTAATCTTTGGGACACCCGAAAATGTAGAATAGATTCATAGATGATTTAAAAAAAAAACCATTTGCACAAGTCTGGGAGAAAAACGTCTTCAGACAAAATGCAGATTATTTCGACTACACGCGTACAAGAAGATGCACAGAGTCATTTCAATACGCGCGCTAAATTGTTCTGCATGAACTCGGAAATGCAGGCAGTTCATTAGAAAGCACAATTTGCACGAGAGTTCATAGCCATCACGCCCATTCATTTGTGCCATGTCGAGAGTTTTTCAACAACAAAAATAATCATAGAGTTGCTTCCGGTGTTCGACGTACAAAAGGTTATCATTCTGAATATTTATTCGATTGCCAGCTTAGTTGTACACTTGATTAGACGAAGCGTCGAAGTTACTCTGGATTCAAGATAATGGAATGAGAAGGCTCTTGAGACTTTTGAACGGGTCTCATTTTCGTAATACTGTACTGTTCAGTTCATGTACTTCTTAGGTACTGTAGTTCATGCAAATCCAAACTGTTACGATACTTTCCTAAGGCAATCAAGAAACGATACGC